CCTCTTTTCTCTTCTCTCCTCTGTTTTATTTGTAGGTGCAGATTATTCACCAGTCATTTTAGAGTTGGAAAGTCCAGAGAACAGGCTCTGAAACAGTCCGTTTTGGCCACTGGCCAAACTCCAGTCTGTGCAGCCGGCTAGTCAGTGTGTGTAGACAATAAAATGCAGGATGGTGTGGCCACTTCTTGGAAATGGCCACACATTCCCACGCCAGTCTCCGTGGGCCGCTCATGGTGCATGGGCTATGGAGACCCCGCTCTGGGCCCAGGGAGCCCTGCGAGCTGCCATGGGCCACGCCTGCTACCACCAGTGGAGAGGGCAGAATCCGCCTCACCTCAGGCTGAACTTCAGAGCAAGCTACGTCTGGTTCCTGGTCTCTGAGAAAAGAGCTGGCTCCACGACACTGCTAAAAATTCATCAGTCTAAATTTAATTACACAGAGCTGGAAACCAGAGGTATTTAGGCTGAACGTCCTCCCAAGCTGGGACCATTACATATTTTAGAATATTGATCACTACCGTTATTGCTGCTATTTTTGTGGTCACTCTACTGTGTCTGTCCCTGCAGGGTTTTAAAAGAATACTGCAGAGAATAACTGTTGCTAGGTAATTGTGAAAGAAAGCCATGCAAATCACGAAGTATTGATAGATTGCATTTACAAATCAATGTGCTAGAATGCTCCTGCTCGCCCTTCCGAGAAATGCAAAGTGGAAGACTTCAATACCTTCAGGGTTCTTAAAAGTGACCCCACTGAATGACACATTCATCAAAATAACTTAAAACACCAGTCCATTCAGCAGTGACAATGCTTGCAGTCTAGAATTATCAATTTTATTTTTTCTACTATCTCTTAATTTTGTAATATAATATTGTGGTAGATCTACTATAGATTTGAGGATGTAGTCAAAGCAATTTAAAACACTAGCCAGAGGGTCTTTAATTCATAAAGGGCATATTATCAGATAGAAGAAGGTTTATCTCAAAGAGAAACAGAAATTTGTACTTTTCTTATCTTTCCCCCAAACAAAATGAATCCTTCAGTGAGTCTTCAGTCAGAAAGTCAACAGCCCTGGGAGACGTTCTACAAACGCTGAGGTGTTCTGAGTGGGCACAGCAGGGAGTGACAACTGACCCAGGTCGCCAGGGTCGAAGGGAAACACGCTCGCTGGCCATCTTGCGTCATCTGACAGTGAGGCCCAGTGCGGTCCCAACCCATCTCCCAATTCAAGATGGGAACGGTCTAGTCGCGCTGCTGACCACGAGGCCTAGATCCAGCCTACGTTCCACGCTGATGTGCAAAGTGGCGGGTCCTGCTGCAGACTCTCGAACTCTGGAGCAAGCAGCGCGACAAATACCTTTCCACCAACGGATGAGGCGCAGACATCATCAGCGTAAGTGGCATCAGACCAGGGAGGAGGAACAAACACGCAAGCCTGGAGAGTCCCGTAAGCACCGCCTCATGTTCCTTGTCATAAAACCACGGGATGAAGTTGTTATGGGTGGCGTGCAGGTGATGGAGGCAGCAAACAGCGAGAGCAGGAATGCGGCGCTCACTTTTGACAAGACGTCCTCAGTTTGCGTTTTAACAAGCCAGATTCTACTTGGTGTGTGGTTCGCCGTAAGCATGCCTGGGTAGAGCCTTCTTTCTACCACCTCACTCTTCCTGAGCACTGCGCTGGAGTTCGCAGCCCTTAGATGTGTGCGAGAGGACAGCACTTACTGAGAAGCAGACTGTGGGGATTTAGAGAAGAAATCTGCGCATGGCATCTACATCGTGCAAAAGCGCCTCTAGAAGCCTGGCTTACTGCTGACAACACCCCGCCCCTGACGAGGCCCCGGGCTCGGGGCTCGTGAATGTGTGTGCTGCGTCACTCAGTACCTGCTGGACCATAAGCACGGTACCTTGGGCCTTCACTATGCCACATCTTGCACACACCCTCATCTGACTCAGGGGCTGGGTGCTTTAGTCACAAATAACTGAGAATAGCAGCTCCATCATCACCTGCTGCTATTTAACTGAAATACAGGTCTGTTTGACCCCCAGAGGCAGTTTTTAGTCATTAAATTATGCTAATCTTGAGTTTCAGAGGTTCTACTATTTTATTTCTGGGTTTCAGATAATTCTCTCAAAATTCCCATCAAGTATGCTAACTGGACCAAGACTTTTCTTTTACGGCTGAGTCTTAAGAGACTACAACAAATAAGGAAAAAATTCCACTGGAATAAAACAGACTCACTGTACAGAGAAAAAACAGCTACAACCACTTTAGGTAAAGTGTCGTAGCCTGGCTTATGGTAGTGGACCACACGGCGTGTTACCGATTGTCTGCCCACTCTCCATGGCTTACTAGGGAAGTGCCCTTGCTTGCCAGTACAGTTCTCAACAGCTACACTGAACAGCCGTGTGCTCTTGCCTGGATGTGGGCACAGGGACACACAGTGGGTCCCCGTCTCCCCCAGTGGGCAGAGTTGGCTGCTCCTGCCCAGCACGATTCCAAAACCTGACAGAGCTCTGCTGATCCATCAGGAAAGTCCCTCTTGCAGAGCAAACTAACAGACAGCTTCTGAGAACTCGCTTCCATAAGCCGGGATGGAGAACAGGGACTTTGTGCTGGCTCCAAGACACAGCAGAAGGGAGGAGGTCTCATCCCCAGACCCGTCTGCTCTCTCTTGGACTGGTTGTCTTTGAGGAAGAGATAAAGTAATTTTCCTTCAAAATTTTCATCTGCAGTCACGAAGAGTAGAGGGAGACACAGCACCACAGCGACTCTTCCACTGGGGTATTCTGAGACAAAGTAGCTTCTGCTTCTTTTTCTTTGAAATAAGTAAGAATTTGAAAGGTGGGCGTATATTGCACTATCTGCTGAATAGGAACACTTTGTGTTTTGGAATTCACATGTTCTCCCCAGAGTAGCACTGTGAACCCTTGTGGAGGCAACAAGTAATCTGGGTGGGGGTTAGAAGCAAACTTGGCCCAGCCCTGCCATGCTGTCAGCCAAGCCCCAGCTCGATGCTAGCAGCTTTCTGGAAAGGAAATGCCTGGGCTGGAATGTAGGAGGCTTTGGAAAGCCATGCTGGGCCCTCAGCTCCGGGTCACATCTGCTCAAGACCATCTCAGGAAGACGGAGGAACACGGGCCACAGGGGCAGACCCACACGGCAAGCCTCATAACATAAGACCAGTCCTGAACACATCCTCAAGGAGACTGTGTACAAATATGGCATGCGAAACATTGACGCATCATCTGTAAGTCAAGTGGAAAATAAAGAATAAAACCAATCTATAAACATCACTCTTTAAAATGCCAACAAAAAATAGCATGTAGCAGTTTATGACGCTAAAAACAAACCTTCAGAGGTCTGTGCCCCCGTGTGCACAGTAAAAAGTAAAAACAACTCAGATATAGAAAATATCACCAAAATATCAGGGTGAGGAACCGTCAGACAGTTCACATTTAATGCCAGAGCTTGTCAAAAGGAGTTTCCCAGGCCAAGGGCCGGAACATTCTCAAGTGACAGGATAAGCTGGCCAGTCCAACCTCCTACCCACAGTGCTCCCACGATTTGGTTGCTTCGGAAAGATCAGATGGGGAACGGAATGGAAATGCAAGCAGAAAACCGAAGACCGATCGGGGTGAGGCTGCTTAGTGTAGGTGGCAAATGCAGTTTGGTGGGCAAGATACTGGGCCACTGCCAGTAGTTTATCCTGACTTGATGAGAAATAGTAAGCATGTTATACACATCCCTTAATTCTTCCATAGCAGGTGACAGTCCCCAGTTTTAGAGAAACGAATCAATACTTTGAGAGATCAGACAACCTACTGTACATCAGCGGTGAGACGAACATTCAAGAATTTCATGAGACGGTGTCTGTGGAAGCAGAGCCTGTACCAGTGTCCAGACATGCAAGGACCCCTAGCATGTGCCTGTTTTCCCTGGAACCGATGGCTCCGGGCATCCAGAACTCGAAGCCATAATTGTCTGTCCACTCTTGGAGCACATTCTACAAACTTAGCGACAAACTTGCACATTCTACTTTACTAACTCAGAAAATCTGTATGAATTTAATACCTCCTAGAGTCCCACTGTTATGTTTTAGATAATTTAAAGTATGAAACTCCTTAAAGGGTAGAGATTGCTTTTTTAAAAAATGTTTTAAAGAGAATACAAAATAATATTAAAAAAGAAAAATTACAAATGATACAGAATTTCACTAAACAAAATAATATAAATTTGACAGTATCTGTTGTACCAGTGTTGTCTTCAAATTAGTTTTTCAGATTACCAGATATATGCATGAAAAATTGGAAAAAGAAAGAAAAAAAAGTTGTAAGGAATTAGGAAGAGAGAAAAAGGAAAGAAAAATGAAAAAAGACAAGAAAATAATTAAGCATTAACTGCTTCCTTCCACAAACCAGCAGAAATCCATGGTACCAAGTAGCAAAATCATCATGCTTACATACATAGATGAGACTGGTTTTTAAAAGCAATTGGTCAAGGGATGTGGTCCGAAATGTTGGCAGAAACACGTGTCTAGGAAGGGTCTTAAGAGATAGGAGGATCCTGGAGTTTTGCCCCCTCAAAAGGAATGGAAACCACCGGGAAGGCCCTGCTTCCCACTTCCTGTGAGAGAGAATCGGGTTGATAAACCAAGCCCACCTCGGGGCTTATGCAGGGAGCCAGCTCTCTTGGGAATTCAGGGCCCATGAAGGTGCTGGCCAGGGCCTGGACTTCTGGGCGACTCTGCCCTGCTATGAGAGGTCTATCCGTGCTTCCTCTTTTTTTTTTTTTTTTTTTGGCGGAACCAGGGATTGAACTCAGGCCCTTGTGTTTGCCAGGGAAGCGCTTACTCCACTGAGCCGTCTCCCTGGCCCCCACGTGCTGCCTCTTGAGTTCTCGAGGCTGCCCACTGCATGCACCCACTCCAGAGACCCTAAGTCCTCACTCAGCTTGGCTGCTGCAGGTTCTAAAGCAGCAGCTAAAGCCCCGCCCTAAACTTACCATTTTCTGGCTGGTCCTTAATGTCAGCATCACTTGGCTGGCTGGGACTTTCAGATTGACTTGAATCTGAAAAACACAAAAATACAGCCAACAGTTATAGGGTCTGTGAGTGAAAGTGGATCAGAGGTGCCAGCTTGCTCCAAAGGTTTGGCCTACAAACTGAGGAGGACACTAGATGGAGGCTGGGTGAGTGACAGGGGCTATGGCTAGGCCCTTCAGCTCTGCTCACACCTCCGGCGGCTTTTGCCTTGGGTCAGACTCGAGCTGGAAGCTCTTCAGAACCCACTTTTTTCCAAACTGCTCCTCTCCATTATTTACACACTGGAGCCCAATAAAGACCTCATCCTTCACTACACACAACTGAAGCTTGATTCAGAACACAACCGAGTGTCAAAACACATTCTGAAGCTGGTGTCTGAAAGCAGTTCAAACAACAGCCGCAGCATTCGCTGCGCGCACCGCGCAGCCCGGAGTCTGGGAACCAAGACGCGCGCCTGTGGAGCTGCGGCGCACCGACGCACTCGGCCTTCCGCGCCACGGACCGACCGCGCTGCCTGACGCACTCGGGAGAGCCACCGAGGCTCTGTCGGCAAAGAGAATCAAATTCACTTCTATTAAAAATATAAGCAAACCTTTGAACTAAACATAAAAAAATTCAATTAAAGCAATTTCTAAATAGGGTCATTTAAATATAAAGTAACACTTGATTTTAAAATTAGATATCATTAAGTTAAAATAATTTCACAGAATTAGAAACTAGTACAGTTGTGATACATTTTGGGGAGACGAGGAAAATCAGGTACAATGTCTCAAAAGGAAAAATTTGTATTTTCTGAGCTCTAGCAGTTTAGAATATTACTTAAAAGCAAACAAACAAATCTAAATTATTTAAAACAAAACCAAAAGCACCTCCACATCTGTGGGAAGAACAAGTACTAGCTTTCCTTCAACTTTGCATGGTTAAAATTAGCTGAGTGAGCTCTGACCACTCTGGAGCGAAAAGCTCACCGCGGGATGGAGAGTTTGTGACCCAAAAGGAGAGTGAGTTGGCAACCGTCCTCCTGCAAGGAGGACAGCAAGCTGAGAAACAGAGTGACCAGAGACTCCGAGTCTAAGTGTGGATCGCTACTCAGAAGAACACTGCTTTCAAGATTTGCTTAAATTGGAAGAAAGTACTATAAAGAACATATCTATTCTGAATTTTTCAAATAATCAACCTGGTGACCATATATAAACAAAAACTCTTGTTATTTCAAAAGCTCACGGAACAAAAGAGGTAAAGAAATAAATTTTTTACTTCACTTTGGTAAAGTGACAGCTTTTATTAGCTTGGGACAATTGCTTTGGTAAGACAAAAATTATGACATAATAAAAACCTTTACAGGCCCTTCAGAATAAACTGCAAAATTAAATACAAAGTCTGTACTAAAAATTGGAGTTATAAATAAATTTATATTGGGATTATAGTTGAAATTTGAGCTAATACATATTAACATTACATTAAGAACAATTTAAAAAGGTAGCATAATAACTTTTTCTAAGGAAGATTCTATAATTTTGCCTTCAGAAATTACAAACTAAATATTTTTAGGAATAGTCCAGTATGCGTCAAAGGACACCTACCTCTGTTATCTTTGTTCTGGACAAATTAAGCCATTAATGTGTATACATAAAACTAAAGCAAAATTTCTAATGTTTGTACTAAAAGAAGTTAAAATTCTTCTTGACCATATTCCTAAACAAATACATAAAATTTTGCTAAACCTATTTTCTTTATAATTCTAGCAAATAGAATTCTCTATGGGATAGCTTGCCTGGTCTTCTACTCCTAGGTGAAATAACTAATCACTTATCTAATGAGCAAAGAGAAAACATTTTTTCCTTTCAATTAATTTAGATGTAAAAGAGCCAATGTCTTCTGATACTTATGTATTAGTATTTCGGCAGAAAGGGATGAAGACAGATCCCAGACCGCACTGGGCTGCCCTCCCTGTTACTGGAAGTGACAGGAAACATGAACAGCGATACAGCACCAGCTCTGGTCCCAGCTCGTTCACAGTTCCTGGACACAGGAACACAAGCAAGCCAGCGCAGAGGACAATGTGCAAGGAAACAGCCAGGGAGGCCTGCAGGGCCTACTTGGCGAGGCTGTGCCACAGGATAGGAGAACAGCCAGTAGGCTGACCCAGGAGAGCAGTTCCCAGTGCCAACAGGCAGAGGCAGGAGACACGACCATCCACCCACGAGACACTTGTGGAAATACCCAATCGCATGCTTAGGCACAGGCAATGCCGAAGAGCTATAGGAAGATGTAAGTGATCTCAAAACTTCAACAACTCTTGCTTCCTACACTAGAGCATTGATGTGTTTCTTTTCTGAATCAAAAGAGAAAAGTCCCTGCCCTGCCCTGCCCGCTGCAGCTCTATGCTGCCAGGCCGGGTGCAGGATGCAGACAAGCAGACAACCAGCACTACAAATTAGCCTCTACCCATACATGGCCAACACAAATGAAAGATATGTCCCTTCAGCATTTGCATTAAAACATTAACAAGACGGTGAGCAATTAATTTACTTTCCTGTTTTACATCCTTGGTAGACACCTGTCTGAATCCACAGCCATTTTTATCTTCTTGTTTGGACAATTATTGTGTGGCTGGTTCATTTGTACCAAATGAAATAAATACAGGCCTCAGAAAAATCCAACTGCATCAAATTGGGTGCTCCTCTTGTAGGTGACCCCCTGGGACACTGTACTTCTCTGGTTCACTGCCTGATTTGTATTTTAAAGTGGAGAACATTATTTAAAGTGTGTTTATACAACAGAGTTGGAAATGCCATCAGGAGGAGGTACATTAGAGCCATCAATTTTTCCCTCCCAGGGATTTGCTTGCTGTTTATGGATCTGTGGATTCAACCTAACCTTGAGGCACAGTGTTTCTTTTGGTTTTAAAAAATTTATGAGCAGAAATTTAAACCTAAAATAGACAGGGTTTGCATATAGGAGGCTGGGTTAAGAACTCTTAATTGAACTGGTAGCCATCCATCTATGCATTTTTATGACACCCACAGTTACACTGCTGGAGTACTCCAACACAGACAGACCACCACCGACATAATCACTAGGGAAAGGAATAAAAGAAAACCTAGCATCTATGTGTTCAGTCTCCACCTGCAAGCTCATGCCATACCAGAGTAGAAACCAGCCCCGAGACAGTGTACTTACGTCTGTCTCAGGCCCCAGCTCCAACCTGCTATCTTCAGAACGAACCTTGGAAAGCACACTTTTGGGTTAGTCCCGAATGACAACAAACATGCTAACATGACCAAGACCGATCAGGCAAAGATGGAGCCACTACTTCCTGGTGCTGTGTTCTCTTAGCAAGAAGTGAGGATGGGGTGTGGCAGGTCTTGCCTGTGCCTGGCCAGGACTAAGCTCCTTCGTCCTTCCAGGTTCTCCCCCACCACTGAGGAAAGCTGCTGATGTGTGCTTAGAGCTCCCAAAGAAGAGCTCCTTCCACCCGCCTTGTGTTCCCATGCCCTATGACAGGGTGGCTGGCCAGCCTCACAGCCGAGCCGGCTGGACTGCAGAGAGAACTCTCCAAGGACACACAGCTTCCAGCCCCAGCCAGCACCACTGCCTGGGGGTCACAGAGCACACCCTCTGCTCCCAGCAACCAGCGGAGCAGCACTTAGGAATCTGCCGGCATGCGATCTTTATCTGAGCATGCCCCCTCATGGGGGCTAGCAAGGGAAGGTGAAGGGCATGCCTTGGGGCTGGTGTGGCTGGGTCAGGCCACAGCGGTCAGGAGCTGCAGGAGTCACTCCCTAGGAGCACACAGAGGCCTCTGGACATGCATGCAGGGTGAAGACACGGATGGCGGGAGTGCTCCACACACTCCAGAGACCTACCGGTTAGCAAAGTCTGCCTCTGAGAGGCCATGCAGAACCCTAACTGCCCCTGTGAACAGATCAAAGAGGGGGAGCAGATGGGGTGTGGAGACACACAAGTGCCACCCTGCTCAGACTACAGACACCAAAAGGGATACACAGACTCTGAGAGCTAAAATATTTTAGCCCTGTTGCAGCCTCCCCTGTGCACGGTGACCTGGCTAAAGATGACGGCTGCAGAAGCCTAGAATTCATGTCCAGTGGGGAAAAGGCAATGCAAAGGAGCCAAGAGGCTCCCAGACACAAGCATGAACACGTGAAAATTCTGCCCCAAAGAGGCAAGTTATTTGCAGCGTAAAAAAAGGAAAAGCACTGAGAAGAGTGGGTATGTCCCTGCAAAGAAGCGAAGAGTTAGGAAAATTCCCGGGGTAAGAAGAAACAAGGAATAGGGTGATTGCGGTCTGGCTGGAATACACACTTACGCTCTGCAGCTGTAACCTTTAAAGACGCTCAAAATTTAGATACCGGAAACGAATGCTTTGGGAAGATGAGTACCTTGCAATACAGCCAGGCCAGAGGGCTCACTTTTCCATATCCATGAAGTGAAATGATGATAGAAAAAATAATTCCATTTCCGATTGCTAGAATAAGTGCTAGAGCTACCCTATTTTGAATGTTTATTACAGTAAGGAAATCTAGAAAATCAAATGGGTGTAACAGTCACAATTTGCTGATTACTGTAGTACAGTGTTTAGTAATACTGTCTATTTTTTCCTGTATGACTATGGCCTTATCATGGCAGCAAGAAGAAATAAATCCCTGCGAATGTAGCGTCAGTGTACAGGTATCCGTATGTGTGGGGGACTTGCAGCATAAGTGTCAACACTGATGAGCACAACATCACTAGCTAAACGTAACACTACCCATCACAGCTTGGCAGAGAAGAGACAGAAATACGTAACACCATCACTAAGTTGAGCTTGCTGAAAACACGCAGTTATTATCAGCATCTCCAGAGAATGGGCAGAATCCTATTTGTGCAGTGAATGACCAAACCAGTATTTCAGGCCCATCCATGTGCGTAAGTGGCTCACCCTTATCACACACCAACCTAGCTCTTAAGACATACATCTGGAGGTGAGTCACACTGGGGAAGTTTTTTTAAGTTTTAAAAATGG